TTTTTTTTGGAGGGACAGAGTCTCATGTCTGGTTGCCGGGCTAGAGTGCTCCGGCGATCAGCCTACCTCACACAACCCAACGGCCTGGGCTCAAGCGTCCTCCTCCTCCTGCCTCAGCCTCCCAAGTAGCTGGAGCTACAGGCATGTGCCACCGTGCCCGGCTCATTTTTTCTATATATTTTTAGTAGGCCAATTAATTTCTTTCCATTTATAGTAGAGACGGGGTCTCGCTCTTGCTCAGGCTGGTTTCGAACTCCTGACCTTGATCGATCCTCATTGCCTCGGGCTCCCAGAGTGCTAGGATGACAGGCGTGAGCCACCGGGCCGGCCTGGATTTTGTTTTAAAGTAGTGATTCTGAGCTTTTGGTCTTGGGCTGCAGGCCCCCTGGGAAACCTAAGGGCAGCCAGGGACCGTGTCTCTAGGGAGGTGCACACACGGTGCTCCTGCGTGGGATTCCAGGCGGGGCCCAGGCCCTGCTGGAGAGGCTGAGCTGTGGAGTGGACACGTGTCCCTTACGGGGGCCACATGGAGACGGTCCTCCTCTCTGCTCTCTGTGCAGGCAGTGTGGCGAGCTGAGGAAGCAGACCGTATTTGCAAAGGAGAAGGGCTGGGGAGGGGAAAGTCCAGCCGTTACGGTTTTAACCTGATCACCGACAGTAAACACTTAACTTGCTGGGAGCCTTCGGAGGTGGCTGCCGGGGGACGGTTGTGCGTCCCTGGCTCGGCATTGTCCCGTTTCCTGTTGCGAAGGGCACGCATCGAGCTCTCTGTGCTTACGTCCCGGGACTGTGCTGGTTTGGGGCCTGCCAAGCTGTATATTAAGAATCCTTTTCGCTTTGCTGGCCGTGGGTTCTCTTAATCCTCCTCAGTCCTGTTTTGCTTTGAAATCAGGATTGTGGTAATGAGCCAACGGTGACCCCTTTCACTGAAGCACGAAGTTCAGAGTCTTTAATGCCCTGGTGGCGCCGGTTGCTTCCCTGGCCCTCCCTGCCTCTGTCCCTCATGCCCCTGAGTTCCAGGCATGTTACCATTCTTGCTCCACACAAAACCACTTTCTTTCTTCCTTCCTTCCTACCTGGGTACGAAGTGCCGTGGCGTCAGCCAAAAATAGCTCCGCAGCCACCATTTCCAACTCCTGGGCTCAATCGACCTTCTGTCCAGCCTCCCGAGTAGCTGGACTACAGGCCATGAGTCTGGGGACCACATACCCAGTTAATTTTTTCACAATATTTTT